TAACAGGGCTAAGATCCTGTGGGACTTCCAGATCCAGATGGATAGGCAGGTACTGGCCAATCAGCAAGACATCATGGTAGTAGACAAAGACCAGAAGATAGCACTGATGATAGATATAGCAGCAAGTGACAGCAACATCAGGAAGAAGGAGTATGAGAAGCTGGAGAAGTACCAGGGCCTGAACGAATAACTAGAGAGGATGTGGAAAGTAAAGGCCAAAGTGGTACCAGTGGTGGTAGGAGCACTTGCAGCTGTGACTCCTAAGATGGGAGAGTGGCTCCAACAGATCCCAGGAACAACATCAGTGGTAGAACAGCTAAGATGCTACACAGTATCCTCAGTCTGGTAGAACACCTGAGATTGAGGAAGACACATACCACCCATAGGGGTTAGAGGGGATTTTTTTTTTTTTATGATAGACATTTTGAGTTCTCCCATACATAGTTGTCAGGCTTTCTTTACCGACCTTATTACCAAATAAGGGGACACTAAAGTCTGCCTACTGCCTGTATTTATAAGTCCAATTACTCTTCCCCCATTTACTATTGCTGGAATCTTTCAGTTCTTGGCAGAAGAAGTAAAACTTGATCTCCCTCTTTTAGAATTTTTGTCCTGGCTCTTTTATCATACCAAGTTTTCTGGATTGTCTGTGCTAAAGCTAGATGGTCTTGAGCTAGGTGAGATAGTTTCTGCAATTTTCCAGAACATATTCCACTATGTTTTTTGGGGCCTTTTACTTCTTTAATCCAGCCTTCCTTAATTATATCCAGTATCCCTCTAATAGGTTGCCTGCCATATACCAACTCAAATGGGCTAAACTCTGTTGATGCTTGAGGTATCTCCCTATAGGCAAATATCAGATAGGGCAACCATGTAACCCAATGCCTTGGATCTTGGCTAGCATACTTTTAAAACTTTTTAAAGGTTTTTAAAATATGTTTTTTAATATTTAATACAAAGACTGTATTTGTTTCTCCCACACAAAACTGTTTTACTGTACAAATGTAAACTCTTATTCTACTATCATAGAAACATAGGGTTGGAAGGGACTTTGGAGGTCTTCTAGTCCAACCCCCTGTCCAAGGCAGGAGTCCTTATACCATCTCGGACAAATGGTTGTCCAATCTTTTCTTGAATACCTGCAACAATGGAGCACCCACAGCTCCGGGAGGCAAGTTGTTCCATTATCTTCCTAGCTTGACTCCTTTCTTGACACACCCCATACATGCTTGCTTTCAGTTCCCTTTTGATAAAACAAATTCTCCAATTAAGGAGTGGGTGGGGCTGTTTTAACCATCCTTACCAGGTAGCACCAAAACTCTGGATCCCAGGAAGGAAAAAAAATGCCTGCTCACTCCAGGTGGTGAATTGACTCTTCCACAAGCGGATAAAACAGATAAGTACTTTGAGTTACTGACTTGCCTAGAATAAATTTCATGCCAACTAATCCAAATATTCCTGGATGGATCAGGATGCTACTTTTCTTGGCTTGTTAACAATAATTGCAAGGAACAAAGGAACACATTACAGCAACACCATTTTTGAATGTGAAGGCTTGTGAATGCATTATACATTGTGCTACCCTAGGAGGATTTCCATTATAATGGGAGGCTACAGGCTGTTAATGACAGGCTTTAGAGAACAGTGATCCATAAGGGGACCTCTCCACTTTTATCCTGATTGCCAAATCTGATTCTGTCAAAAGCTTTTTGGAAAACTAAATCAATAATGTCAACAATAAATCATAATTGTTGACATGCCTGGTACTCTAAAAAGTTAATGAGACAGGATTTATCTTTGGTGATGCTTCTTTATAAAGCCTTCTAAGTGATTAATAATTTTATCTATAATAACTTTTTTGACCTTGCTATATGATCATTCATCTAACTAGTCAGAATGCTAAACCTGACTGAACCTGACTATGAACCAAAGCTGCAATTCTTTCAACAGTCTTTGTTAATTCTTAAAGTCAACAAGATAGAACTGGAGCAAAGGTGGAGAAAGAAAAGGAAACACAGCAGACAGTTCAGATTAAGGCATTTTCATGAACTGAACACTTATAACAGCCACTTCTGCTTGAAAGAAACAGAACAATAGTATTTTGCATCAATTTACCTGGAACAAATATTATGCTAAGTGATCTGTAATTTACTAGATCTTCCTGCCACCCAATCATTGTTTAAAAATTATCATTATAAAGTAACAAGTCTTGTACTGAGGCCTACAATTACATTTTTTTGGGGGTAGGAGCAATTTTCACATGTTAAATTCTTTAAAAGTTTGACAGATATAAGTTGAATGCAGTGATTTGTTTTCAGTTTGCCAGTAAAATCAAAGAATCGGAGGACTGGAAAGGAAATGGAAATGGAAAATGGAAACTGTCTGATCCAACCGCTTGCCCAATGCAGGAACTGCATGGCAGCTTCATTTGTTGATACAACTGTATTTATCTAAGTTCACCAGCATATATAGAGTGAGGCAAGCGAGATCCGACTGATGAAAGCAGTGTTGCAATGCAAGACTCACCTCTTTTCTATGTGCATGGTGACATTACACGCATGACCCAAAGAGACAGAGCTTGCCCTGTGATGCAGTGAGATCCTAAAGATACCATTAACAAAGTTCTTCAGAGTCACTTGCTGAAATAGTGTTGTAATGTTTGCCTTGCTGACATTCTTCTTAGAGTCCTGTTTTGCATCCTTCAGAGAACCATAGAATGAGAAGGGACCATTTGCCACTGAATCCATTCCCTGGTTCAGCATTTCCTTCCATTTCTATTATGCACATTTATGTTCCTTTTTGTAGCCTTCATTTGGGCAACATTTCCATTTTCTGAAGGATCTTTTCTCTGAAGATTTTCTTTGATATTTTTTATTAACCATGCCATGAGTTCTTACCCTAACAATAAATTTCCTAACTTGTGTATACATTCTTCATTTAACCACTGTGGTTTTAAATAATTCCAAGATATTTTGAAACAATTTGAGAACTGAATTTTCCTTTCAACCTCCCTTTCTCACTTTTTTCATTTGTTAAAACACAATAGTCTTCTATATTTGACTGTGTCAGTATTAGACTTCTATGGAAATTTTCACTTATATAATTTACATTTTTATAGTTGTTTCTAGACAGTTCAACAATCACCTTTTCATAAAGTTCTGGGTGCAGAGTCTTAAGGTTTAAGTCCAAGATCAGTTCAAAAGATCAGGTTCCATGACCACTAGTTCTAGGGTACCTACAGATTTTAAGGTATTTAGAAATGTTACCTCTTCTCTGTCACCCAAATATGTATGTATCTTGGTCCTGTAATGGTAACTATTATCTCTCTGTAGTGCAAATTTATCTCTTTGTTTCCTTAATTTCATTCTGCACCTCAAAAATCATCCTTAGAATTTGGGCAGGAGTATGATACACATTCATTTCAGGACTTGGACTGTGGAGCCTGCTCCTTCTAACCTTTCCAGTTTGTTGGCTCTAATATTACATACAGATAAAAAGCAGAGTTATTAATTGTATTCAAGAGCCAGTTTGGTACAGTGGTAAAGGCATCAGGCTAGAAACTGGGAGACCATGAGTTCTAGTCCCACCTTAGGCATGAAACTAGCTGGGTGACCTTGGGCCAGTCCCTCTCTCTCAGCCCTAGGATGGAGGCAAGGGCAAGCCACTTCCAAAACCTTGCCAAGAAAACTGCAGGGACTTGTCCAGGCAGTCACCAGGAATCAAAAACTGACTTGAAGACACAAAAACAAAAAACAAAAACACCCCAATAACAACAACAACAAAAGCTTCACATCACCCCCCAGAAAGCCAGAATTGGTCATAACTCCCTGCTTAGTGTAAAGAAGGTAACCTTGAAATGTAATGTTATCTTTTACTTTACTTCTCAAAAAAAAAAAAAAAATTCCTGGATATTTTGATTATGTGCAATTAAGTCGGTGTTGACTCTTAGCAACCACCCCGGATACTTTAGAAGATATTTAATTCAAAGATTCAGAGTGTGCTACAGAACCTGCTGAATGTTTGCTTTCTGCATTTTATTCCAAACTTTAGATTTTGGGGGGTGGGGTGGAGGGGGTGCTTGTTGACAGTGCTTCTGCTTTTACTATTTTTCTTCTTATCTTGTGAAAATACTCCGTCCCAGGATCCAACCAGGAACCGAGATCTATCCCTTTGAGTTTGGGCCACTGAGAAGACATTTCTCTTCCTCAAAAACAAGTTGCTCTTCTGTTATAGAAAGTACAGCACGCAGCAAGGCTTCGCTGAAGCAAAGGCAAAGCACCAGCGGGGACCAACAGGAATTAAGGCAAAGAGCCAACCTTCGTCTTTTTTCTGCAGCTCCCTTTTCCAATCAGGGTCATTCATCACAGCAGCAGCCCTGAGGGGAAAGCGATCAAAGACACCGAAAGCACAGCCAGGCTTCCCCGGGCGCGCGCGAGGCAGAGAGTTCCCAGGTCGAGGTAGCAGGGCGCGCGCGCTGGCCCGAGCGAGGTTTCTCGCCAGAGGCGAAAGACAGGGCCAGCTCGCCCTTCTTGCGTCAGATGGTCGGCCGAGGGGAGATCCCGCGCCTCCCCGCCTACCATTACTTAAGCTCTGCCTCTCTGTGTCTCCGCCTCCCGGCGCATCGTGTCCCCAGCAGACATCTGGCTGGCCTGAAGCAGAAGGTAAGAGCGGACAGCGGTGGGCTCCTGCCGCCTGCGCCCGCCGGCTTCGACGCTCCGCTGGAGCGTCCTCCACGCAGAAGATCCGGGACGTGGGGAGGGAAAGCCGCTCAACTTTTCCCGCAGTTTCAAAGTGGGAGAAAGAGGCGGGAGCTCTGCAGGCAGCGGGAGCGCTCTACCCACGTGCGTAGCGCCGAGGGGCCGGGACGCGTGGGCGCGCGTCATCTGCCAGCGTGTCCTGTTGATGTGCAGCGCGCGCGTCTCGAGAAACCAGAGAAATGGTTCATCAGTCAGCATGGTCTGGTTACAACAGGGAGTGCATACAGAGGCTGCAATCCAGCCTTTGACAGCGCCCATCGCGTTAAGGGTAGTAACTCATGCCTCTCAGCGATGCTGCTTCTGTGTGCCCTTTTCTTGCCACTTTGGCAGATGGGCTGCGACAAGCATTTCAGTCTGTGAAGGAGGGCTGGGTGTCGATCCTCTGAGCTGCAACGTAGTGATGTGCTTCTGTTTTTCCTGCTTAAATCTACCTCCGTGTAATACATTTCCAAAATGTAGGCAACAGGTGATACACATGTATCCCTCTATACAGGAGTGCAGCGTTTCCTTTGTAGGCTGAAACTGCAAGTATGAATTCTTTACATGAATATGTAAAGAAAGGCAGCTCGTGGCTCTGTGTGCAGTTGCATGTAGGTATTCTCTCAAAAGAGAGGCAGCTCTGGAAGCACAAAAATCTTGTTACTTTGGGATTATGACCAACATTAATTCTGATTTTAAAAGGTAAAGCTAGAATCTGGGGACTACCTGAATAGTTTTAATTGATATAGATGCAGTCAGTCGAGATTGCTTACCTCTAGGAAGCTTTTTTCAACTTCCCATTCTATCCTACAAGGATTTCCTGGTGGTCTCCTGTCCAAGTACTATGCAGGTCCTACTTTGGTTAGTTTTGTGTTGAGATCAGCCACTACCCACTGTATCTTCATATTCAGTTAGATATATTTAAATAATGTAAATAACATGCAAGGAACTGTGTATCAGAAATCAGGTCTCTTTTATTTTTTTGCAAAACACTTTGTGGCTTGTTTGAACATGAATATTTACAGTAAAATTTAGCTCATATGTCATCTTCCTTTGGTGAAATTTGCACGAATTTTCAGGTAAGAGTAGGAAAAAAGAAGCAATAGAAGCAGCTCGTGGGAAAAACCGAATTGATTATATCAAGTTTCACCCTTGATTTACATCTTCAGTCCGTTTCCTTTGTTCAGGAGCAGTTTCCTAGAGACTCAGAACTAGTTTTAACATGGCCTTTGGGTCTTAAGTAATAACTGTTTCTGAAGTTAATTAAAAGCACTTTTTTGTGGTTGGTAGCTCACATAAACTATTAAGGTGCCAATAGAAATCTGGAATTACTTTCCATAGATTCTCTGAAAGCACAGTGTATAGGAAATAATCTGAATACACTAAAACTAGACAAACGTTTTACCACTGAGCTAATATACAGTTTATTTACTTAAAATGTATATCCTTCTAGCCATATCCTTTGAAGTGAATTATTGCATCAAAAAACCCAAACTTCCAGCTAAATTGCCCCAAACACATAGTTAAGCTTCAGCATCAACAGTGGGGACAGGGGGACAATTGATCAAAGTGTATCATGATATCATGGTGCAAAATCATGGTGTGATTTTTGTGTTTGTATCTGATATCATTTTTTCATCATCAGAACTAAAGGTGGATGCCCTTTATAATCTGAAAAAGATTATAAAAAGGAGGAAAATTTAATTTTTACAATATTTCTGTAGGAGTCAATCTATCACTTTTAATCTGGTACTTGAAGACAATCAAAGGAAGTGCCAAAAAAGGGAAAAATAGGTAAGACCTATAAAGCCCTATATTCCTTCCCATCAAGATTCCTTTAGGGTTGTCTTGTCTAACCATCACTGACCATCACCGAAGAAGCTGGTATGGGAATATTGCCTATTATTACAGCTGATGAGTTGTTGTGATGAGTTGTGAGCAAGGAAACACGAAGAGGAATCTCGGCTTGTTAGTGCAGTTCAATGGAAGAAAGATATATTTCTTCTTATAATAATAAACTAATTATATGTGGGCTTGGATGCCATGAAAATTAAGTGGATACATAACTGGATTGAAAATTCTATTTAAAGAATACTCATCAAATTCTAGTAAAGTATCAAGTGGAGTGTTACAAGGGTCAGTTCTGAGGCCCATGCTCTTTAACATTTTATTAATACTTGGATAAGGTGGAACAAATGCTCATTAAATTTGCAGATTACACAAACCTGGGGGAGATAGCTGATATCCTGGGAGATAAGACAAACTAGAAGAAACTTATGGGAGAAAGGATAATTAGAGATTTAGAAACTAAGACCCATGAAGAGTGATTGACGGAATTAAGAACAAGATGACAGTCTTGGAGACACTCTCCAAATACCTAAAATATGTTACACAAAAGATCAGATGTTTTCCATCATTCCAGAGTGCAAGTGGAGAAATTATGGATTTAAGTTACAGAAACACCCAGCAAGTTTCATTACTGTAGTTAAATGGGTAGAGTCTCTCTCTCTCAACTTTGTCTACCTAGGTATGCAGTGCAATACCAAAAGAGGGCTGGGAAGGGTTATTTTTTTCGTCAATAAGAAATGTATGTTGCTTTCAGATACTGAGTTTGGATGTTTTTAATTATGTACCAGCACAAAGAAACAAAGTGGAAAATCGTCTGGCCACCCCATGTATTAATCTATATGACAGTGCCGAAAAACCCTAGGACATTTATCCCAAAGTATCTCATTTCCCATGCTGCAGCCAACTGAGATTTCAGGCCACTGTGACAACCATGACATTGTCTTAACCTATTATAAGCCTGTCATCAGCTGGAAATATTCTGTAGGACACAATAAGGAGGTAGTTTTTGTGACTGTGTGAGATGGTATTGAACTGGGAGGACAGGGACTTCCTTAAATTGGTTGCTGTTTTCAGGCTATTCCCTCATGAAGATTGAATTGTCAATTACTTTTTTTGTCTCCAGAGATGAAAAAACATAGTCTACCTCTGAAATTTAACTGAATTATCTGCAGCACCTTAGCCAGTGGTCAGGGATCTTGGAGTGGTACACATAGCTGAAAGGCTTTTTGTCTATCCTTGTTCTGAAGGGTCTCCTCATTGATATGGATGGCATTTCTGTCACATCTATAGATTCTCTGTGGAGGGATTATGTGGAAAAAGTCATAATCATTCCCAAGCTTTCTGTATTAACTAAGTGCATGCTTTATATCAGAGAATTAGTGGCTATGAAACAAACTTATTTATTACTTATCATTTATTATTATTATTAATTATTAATATTATTTATTTATTAATACAAATATTATTCAAAGTTTCCTTGTTGCCATCCTAATGGAATTATTAGCACTGCTAATAACTTGCCTTCTTGTTCCTTTTTGCTCAGGCATTTCAATTTATTTTAAAAGCTAATGATTAATTTGTTTACTGACAAATAATTTCCATGCCACTTATTTGTAATAGTATTGTTATTATATGGGCACCTGATATTTTCTGATTAGGCTTATAGCTAATTTTTCGTATCTTACTGATATGTTTTAAATCCTTAGCATTTGCTCATATAACAAACTCATATTTCAGTCTTTAAGCAGAATTTGCATGGTCTAAAAATCAGAGCCAGTTTGAGGGAGTGGTTGAGGCATCAGGCTAGAAACTGGGAGACCATGAGTTCTAGTCCTGCCTTAGGCACAAAACCAGCTGAGTGACTTTGGGACAGTCACTCTCTCTCAGCCCTAGGAAGGAGGCAAGGGCAAACCACTTCTGAAAACTTGCCAAGAAAACTTCACAGACTTGTCCAGGGAGTCATCAGGAGTCAGTGCTGACTTGGGGACCAAGAAAAAAAAAATCAGGTGGTCTGCTACCAATCTGTGATCTACAATATATGCTCAGATGTTATATAGGATGTGAATAGAAATAGAACATTACTTTGAAAGTAGCAGACAAGTCCACAGATAAACCTTTCCATTTTCTTGGAGATTATTTTTTTATGATTTTGAGAATCCTGAATGTTATATGGAACTAGCTAAAGGGCAGAACCAATCCATCAATATTTGTAGTCAAAATGAGATAAATGTTGGGGAGTAAACGTTTTCTTAAAAATAAGATTTCTAGATATATCTAGCAATTGTTGTGTCTATCAGAGAGGCTGCCACAATTCAGAAATACAATACGTAGAAAGAGGAAAACATTATGTGAAAGTGAACAAGCTGCTGATATGAATGTGTTATTAGCTTATTATGGGTGTGCACTTTGTTTTTCAGGGTTTCCAGAAAAGTGCTTACAGGAACTTAATTTAGTCTTGACATGCCACCTCCAGCAGACACGGGTCTAGCCTACACCCCTCCAGATGGCCAATGGGGATGGGCAGTAGTATTTGGAGCATTCATTTCCATTGGATTTTCATATGCTTTCCCCAAAGGAATAGCAATCTTCTTCAAAGAAATCCAGGATTTCTTTGGTACATCGTACAGTGAGATTGCGTGGGTTTCTTCAATTATGTTGGCTGCTACATATGGCGGAGGTAAGTAGAAGAGAGTAATCTATTGACTGGGTTCTGACTTGGAGGTAGAAGTCACATGTCCCCAAATTAAACTGGGGATGCTATTGGAGTTAGCAGGTGCAAAATGCTTAGTCATAGTAGTCCATGGTACTGGTTCATATCAGAATAAAACAATTGCACAACCAGATATTTGAATTCTTGTAAGCTGATCTTATGTAATCGGGTTGGATGCAAAATGCTTCATGTTTGCTTTGCTGAAGTAGTAAGGCTGTTAATAATGAAGTTTTTCAATCCTGCAGAAGGTCAGGCAGCAATAAGAAAAAAGAAACCTGAGTTATAAACCAATATAAACCAGTGATATACTGCTGTACAGCAATATAAGATGGGTACAAGGGAGAGAGACTGTCTCCAAGACACTCCTGGAGGAGTTTCTCTTCATGGATACAGGTCAAGTGTTGTCTGGTTGCAGATGTATTTGGGAAGAGCCCGTAAAATTTTAGAGTATTGAATTCCTTTTCAAAAGGATCATTTGGTGTTTTTGCATTGATTTTGCAGTTGTGCAGGCAGAATTCTCAATTTCTAACTAATGAATCATTTCTGATATATCACCAGGGCTACTGTGGCTTCATGAAAATGTATAATAGTTTATATTAGTCTAGCTTATGTTTAGCTCCTTTCTTCATCTGCAGATAGGAGTAATGCTAAATCAGTTTACAGAACCATCATGAATGAGGATGATAGAAATAAAAAATTGTAAAACAGTGTCTCATTATTGAAACATTGTATGAATTTTTGCTGAGAAATAGAAGGCCTTTGGAGTTAGAAGGACATGACCTGAGATTTGGGTGTCATGGATATTTGTGGTGCAATAAAGTCAAGTTAATGTGGATTTTAAACATCATTATGTTAGATGTGCCATATTGAGAATATGGAATAGATAAAACTCAGGTTGTGCCCCAAAACATCTTTGTGGCTCTCTTCACAAGAAGAATTTTATAGACGAGAAATAATAGGCAAAAATAAATGGCTAACTTATCGTGAGATACAAGAATTCTGTCAAGGGGAATGTAAAATAAAATCAAAAGAAGAACTGGTGGCAGAGAGATATAGTTGTCAACAGTTCTCTTATTTACAATTATTAGAGAGATTTAAAGTAGACAAAATAATTTATGGTTTTGAACATTGTAAGACTGAATTTGAAATAGAATTGTGTACAAATGAAGATGTAATTGCTAAAATGTATAAACATTTATTGAAATTTGAAACAGAAGAAGAAAAAGTGAAATAATGTATGATAAAGTGGGCTAAAATTTTTGGTTATAATATACAGACGGAACAATGGGAAATATGTGGCTGAAAGAATTGAAATGTATGCTATGTTATAATCATAAGGAGAATTTTTATAAAATGATGTACCCTTGGTATATGTCACCAGAGAAATTATCTAAAATATATAAAGGCACTTCAAAATTAGGTTGGAAATGTGAACAACAAGAAGGGACATTTTATCATGTTTGGTGGACGTGTAAAAAGCTAGAAAATTCTGGATTCAAATACATACACTGATTCAGAGGATTTTAAAGATTAATATACAAATTGAGAACAGAGGTTCTTTTGGGATTGATGGACAAACAGCTGGAAAAAAGTTATGGAACTTTGTTTCTGTACATGATAACTGCAGCAAGATTACTGTATGCACAAAGATGGAAAGATTCGGCATTACCCACAATGGAGAAATGGTTGGTGAAGATGATGGAACTTGCTGAGATGGCTAAATTGACTTCTTTGATCAGAGAAAAGACAATATCTATGTTTATTGCTGACTGGAAACCCCTTACAGACTCTTTGTGCAAAACAGAAAAAAATGAACTTATGATTTATGGTTTTGATGGTTAGACAGGCTAGATTATAGAAAGAAGAGAGTTATGTTGTAACAATACAGTAAGAGGTAAATTTATAATTGTACTTATAACTGCTGAAAGAAGATTGGAAGCTACTTCTTTATATCTTTTTTTCTATTTTTCATTTACTTTTTTCCCCTTTCTTGCACTTTTTGCTTTCTCTTTGCTTTCTTTTTCTTTTTCTTACTTTAAATTACATTATATTAGCTTTTATCTTCCTTTTTAAAAATCTTTAATAAAAGTTATATAAAAAAGAAACATATGAATTTTCAGTAATGTCATCTTGCTACAGGTAACCACTGATGATATTGAAATATATTCAAATTAAATAGTTACAAACGTGCATCACTTAAAGGTTCTTTTCTGAAGCTTGTTTCTTTCAGAATTTCTCCCAAGTCAGTTAATTTTCTCATGTTTTTCACTTTTAAATCTTTAACATTCTATATTTCTGCTAACCCTTTGAACATTGAAAAAAGCTACCTAGTATCATGAAACTGTAAGATACAGACAGTATGTATTTACTGTTATAATTCTGTGAAAGGAAAGAATACCATTTATTTTAGGGTGATTGGGCACCAATTCAGATAGGATTGCGGGGTTAATGTTTGATGAAACAGATTGTTCCAGTGCTCTTAAGAAATTTATGCTGAATACAGCAAATTGGAATAATATAGTTGTGTACACAGAGGGTTGTTGCATGTATAAAGCATATAAAACAAGAATGGATGATATGTATTCTGTTCCCTGCCCCCCCGCTCCCCCCCCCCCCCCCCCCCC